TATTTTGGGTTTTCTTTGTAAATTTTTAACTTATTTTTAAAAACTCGTTTTTAAAAATAGGAAAGAGAAAGCGTTTTCACTGTTTTGGAAAATCGAAAACAGAAAACGGCTTGAAAATGATAAAGGAAACAGACCCTTAATTTTTCACGCTTCTTGTTTTTTATTTTTTTGACTATTTCAATTAATCAAAATTTAAAAAGACCATTATACTTGCATTACACGGGTCAATTGACAAATTTTTGAACGAAATTCAATAGACGTCCTTTCCACCCACATTTATTAAAAAGTTTGAAACCTAGTGCTATAATTTAAAAGGTTGAGACCACGGTATATACTTTCGATAGGTTTGAAACCGTTTGAAACCTTCGTTACAAATTTTCCTTATTTTTTCTGGGCGAGAAAAATAACATCATATTCTATATTTTTATTAGCTCATAACTTAATTTAAAAATATACAATATATTAGGCTTTTATCATATTTATGACAATAAAAAAGAGGGAAATGGTGCAAATTGTCCCTAATCTATAGGACTGCTGTATAAATGATCCCTAATCTTCACTTAGGGGCCAAAATTGGTAATTTTGGATGATTTACATCCAATTGACCGTTAAAAAGGTAAAAGTTTTGATATAAAGACTTAAATGCATTTATTTTGATTTAATAAATAAAAAAAATGATTTATTGGAAAAATATAACACAAAAAGAAAAGTCAACTAATCTTGCCAACCAATCCCCTATTAAGAGCATCTCCAATGCAATAGTAGATTAGTCAAAATATCGATATAACTATAATATAGTGCATTTAAAAAAAAATTCACATTCAATGGAAGTTGTTAGGGATTCTATCAAGATGATGTAACCAAAAAAAAGTAGATACTTTCTAGAGTTCCATCTATATTCAAAAGTTCCGATAGACATGCTAATTCGGCAAAATATATATTTTATATCTAGAATTAATGTGACATTGTTATCTAAAAAAAATATAGAAGAAATCTAGATAGCAATACGTAGAATGCATTAAATTAATTTTGAACTCGGTATCTATTCATTATATGATTGAATATCTTTCGATATATATTTTGTTCCACGGGAATGATAAATGTACCGGGGGGGGTTGACAACCCCCTTGACCAGCCCCTCACAGCAGTGGGGGCCCACCTGTTTAGAAAAAAGGTGGGCCCCCCCACTGCTGTGAGGGGCCGATCGGGTTGTCAACCCCCCCCGGTAACTATAGCAGGGCCCTTTGTTCTATATCACATTATATTGACGTATTTCTTATTAGCTTACAATACAGGTATTTTTTATTTTATTTTTTATAATACCCTCCATATTATTTATATAACAAAATTTCAAAGCAATTCAAGGTTGCATTTGGATATCATTATGAGAGATTGGTTGGTAGGATGGATTTTCTTTTGTTTTTGTCAATTTTTAAATTTTTTCTATTATATTTATTTAACTAAAAGTGAGAACATTTTAGTCCATTTATCAAAAGGTTGACATTTTTAATGGTTACTTGGATGGAAACCATTCAAAAGAATCAATTCCGCCTATTAATTGAAAGGTTGAGGACATTTGAACAAGATTAAATGTTAGGATTTATTTGCACTACAATCCAATAGGTTGGGGACCATTTTTGAAAATTCCTCTAAAAGGTCGTTTCGGTAGGCTAAAATACGCGTTAACTTTCTCAACTTTTGCCATCATTGCACTTTCGTCCTTTTCTATAACATTTCTAACAACAATCTTTTGTTAATCAGTTATTTTTTATTTTATTTTATTTTTTGAACAGCAAATTTTCGAAAAATATCCATTTAATCAATATACGTCCATCAATACATCATATGTGAATAAAATGAATCCCAATTTACAAAAGAGAAAAACAACAGATTTCTTTGCTCCTTCCCATCCCTCTACTAGAGTTCTTTCCCAAATCTCACACCGTCATTGACCTGACAACCACCACCGCCATATCACGGCAAGCCAAGACCAAAAAACACCACCATGAAATTGTCCCTAAATCAATCTCATACTTGAATCGTGGAAAGAAGATGATTCCATGAAAAATAAGTCATCGTCTTTACACCATGCTCTAGAAAAATCATTGATATTGTCGTGTCAAAACCATATCTAGCGCCTGTCTGGGATGGATTATAAGTGAAATTCCTACCGTTAAATGCCCAAAAATGCCATTTTTGTGACCGTTGAGCATCAAATCCGCCAGCCAAAGTTGACCAGTTCTCTCTTGTGTGGGTCCCAGCAGAGGAAGCAACGGTCCAAAAATCCATTCCCAGAAGCGGCGCCAGCCAACTCCTTATTTTACAATTACAAAAACTAATAATTAATATGTAACAAATAATTTGATTTGTTAATTGATATAATGAAATAAAATATTTATATTTACTCCCAGAAGCGGCGCCAGACAACTCCCTAAATTGTGATACTGCAAAAACCAAATTGGAATGGCTTAGTGGGGACTCGAGTCATATGCTATTCATATTTCAGTCCAAAAAGTGGTTTTAGGTCACAAAAATCGTCTTATGAGAAATCATGCACACAAGTGAGAAAGAACGGCAATTGTTCTTAATGTTACCCTCATCTTTCCCATTCTTTTTTAGATATTTTTTGAGTGTAAATGAATCGAATGATTATGATCTAGTTTTCGCAAGAGAAAAAAGGTTGGGATAAAAGTGCAACAGATGGCAAATGTTGAGGACAAAATGTATAATTTACTCTCTAGGATAGGAAAGTACAAAAATTAAATTGTTGAAGTCAATTAAAAAATTGTTTTACCGGATGCTCGGAGAGACTTTAGCCCATGTTTGAACCACATTCTCATTTTTATTCTTTTACGAATTTTCAACCATATATTTTTCAATAAAATTATATTTTTCATCACATCAATAACTTTTCTTTTTTTTTTCAACTATATATTCCCCATCACATCACAAAAAATGCGTTCTCTCCTAAAAAATGTTCTATCAAAGACACTCTTAATTTTTAGAGTAAGATTATTTAGTCCCACTGAGGTTACAATCCAGTCTAGATGGCTCTGGGTTGTAATCCCAGTGGAGATACATTGCATACTCTAATTTTTAACATAATTTCCGTTGGAAAGTCAACTTTGACTCGATGTGATATTCAATTTTTTTCCCCTTCCTTCTGGGCTTTGAAATAACTCTTTTTGGAACAAAGCAAGCGGTGGTCACGTGCTTATTAAACCGTAAATACCACGTCATTAGATTGAGACAATCTGGATTACTATAACAGGACCGTTACCGTTAAATATATTTATAAAATTTCAGTAAATCTCAACATTCACAATATTTGACTTGAATTTAGAACCTTCTCGAAGATGTAGCTACTTTTTCATAATTAACAAAGTTAAATAAAAAATTTCATGAATTCTTTAATATGCTCTGCATGCAAAATAAAATAATAGCCTATTTGACAAAATATTTGAAAAGTCAAAAAATACTTTTGAAATTAAGAAATTGCTTTTATACTTATTTGAATAGTTTTTTAAAAATACTTGGCCCCCGTTTGATCTACATTATTATCTCATTAAAATGAAAAATATGACTGTTATCCATCACATCAACATTTAAATTCAAATTTTCTATCTCTTATGTGGGCCCCAATAACGACTATATTTTTCATTCTCATTTTACAATAATTATCTCTTATGTGGGCTCCAATAATTGATATATTTTTCATTCTCATTTTACAATAATTTGGCTCAAAAAGGGCATTGGTCTTGCTAAAAAGCTTTTAGAGGAAGTTAAAGTACTTCATTAAATAGTTCTTCTACAAGAAGTAAAAACAAAAGTAGAAATCCTGTGAAACATACCCTATGTTTTATTGCACAATTTGATTATCCATATTTAATATTTAAAATAGAGTAATTCGTTTTTCAATATTTTTTTATCAAAATTACATTGCGGGTTAAAAGAGTAGTTTCCGTTGTATAAGAATGACAACGTAAATATTAAGAAAATGTTAAACAAGATAGTATTTCGTGTCACCTTGGGATACTACAGAAGAAAAAAGGAAAAATCCGATTCAAATTTTTTTTTTTTTTTTTTGGGTAATCAATTAGTTAGCTTTAAGCGCAAGATAACTCCAAGTGATTGTGAATTTTTCTCTACCAATTGGGATGCTCATAAAAAATTACTGATTCTAGAAATATAATAATATAGAGAAGACAAAATTGTTTGAATTAAAAATCAAACACATATTAGAGATTGTTTGAAAAGACTTTGAAAAAGTAAAAAACTACTTAATATTTTTCTCTACCAAATTGTTTAATAAATTGAACTGTTTTTGTCTGTTAACAGTCCGTAAACGTACGCGCAGTTGCATTTGAATAACAGAAAAATGGCCATCGAAAGCTCTATCGGCCTGCCTCTCTTTTTTCAAGTAAATTCCCCCCTCATTTCTCTCTCTCTCGCATACACATGAAAGAAACAGATTGATTTTGAAGCACCATAAATTTGAATTCGATATTCTTGGGGTTTGAACTTTGAATACGTACCAATTTGATCTTGATTCTTTTTTTTTTTTTGCTTTCTCAATCAATAACGTCTTATGAATAATTAACATTCAGACGGTTTTTCGCTATTTCTAGTTTTTCTTGAATTTAATTCCGCCATATTTCCGTTTCTTCCATTCCATTTCGCAATCTATTGTTTACCCTTTTACCTTGGGGATCAGGTTATTTTTTTACTCCAGAATTATATCTTTCTTATTATCCTTCAAAGTTTGAGAGTCATTTTTCGATCATTCTCTGTATCATCCATACCCTCCAATATTTCTTGCAATGCAATGAACCCTATTCTCTGTTCTGCACTTTTCTTGAAATTCCGTTCTTTACCACACCCTTTCCCAGAAAAAGAATCTTATCTTTAGGGTCATATATTGTTGAAGAGTGTGATGATAGTTTAATTGTTTTTCCTTTGCTGAACTGAAGAAAGGTTAATCTTGTACCCTATCCGTGAATATGAAGCTCTTAGTACGCGTAATCGAAGCAAGAAATATACCAGCAATGGACCCTAATGGATTCAGTGATCCATATGTGAAATTACAACTGGGTAGACAGAGGTTTAGAACTAAAGTCGTAAAGAAGTGCCTGAACCCATCATGGTGTGAAGAATTTACTTTTAACGTCGATGATTTGAAAGCAAAGCTTGTCATTGCTGTTCTTGATGAAGACAAGTACTTTAATGATGACGTCATTGGCCAGGTTAAAGTGCCCGTCTCTCAGGTTTTTGAAGCTATGGATAAGTCTCTTGCCACTTCTTGGTACTCATTGCAGCCTAGGAAGAAGGCTAAGAACAAGGATTGTGGTATGTTGTGCACTTTAGTTTGTATTCTTTCTTCAAGAGCATTACTTATTCTAGTTGATTGTCTTATTAGAATTTGATGAGTTAAATAAATTAAGAATACATCCAGTTAATATTGTTTACAGCCAGTTAAAATTCTTCTATGATATGTTCAAATGGGATAATGCTCTGTTTAGTTGAGTACATTTCTTCAATCCGATTGTTTAATCAGCATATAACATTGAATATTTTAGCCAGTTATCCCTTGATATTTTTTCTTGAATGAATAAATGGGAGAGTTTGATGCAGTCAAATTTTTTATTGGTCATGCATATGAATTGTAATTTTCTATAATTTCAAGTGAACCAGGAATTAGTTTGTGAGTGCTGATCAACAAGTGTTTCTTTTATTCATAATAGGTGAAATTCTTGTCACTATTTGGTTCTCACAAAATAGTTCCCTGTTGGACTTGCCAACATCTCTTGTTGATCCTGCACCGTTGCCAAGGAAGGGTGCTGATATGGGGATGGATTCAACTTTAAGGTCATCCCCTTTGAGATCAGCTTCTCCAATGAGAGTGGAAGAAGGTCTCTCTTTTAAGGAGGAAAAGCCTTCTGCACCAACATTTGCTGATCGAATTGCACAAATTTTCAACAAGAACGTAGATACAACACCTGCAAGCTCTGTTGAAGCACCTGACATATTAGAGTTATCAGAAAGTGAAAATCCGGCAGTTTCAGAGAACAAGTCTGAAGAGCAGTTCTCAGCTATTGATTTTGAAGAAGTAATGAGAAGCATGGGGATGAAAGAACGAGGACGTGGAGTTCCGAGTAATTTGCCAGGAGGTGTAGTTTTAGACCAACTGTATTCAGTTGCACCAGGTGAATTGAACTCGTTACTCTTTTCACCAGACTCAAGCTTTATGAAGTCTGTAGCCGATGTGCAGGGATCTACAGAATTTCATTTAGGACCTTGGGAATTCGAAAATGGTAGTGAGAGTCTAAAGAGAGTGGTTACTTATATTAAGGCTCCAAGTAAACTGATTAAAGCTTTGAAAGCGACCGAGGAGCAAACATATATGATTGCTGATGGGAAGGCTTTTGCAGTTTTAGCAAGTGTGAGCACTCCAGATGCTCCATATGGGAAAACTTTTAAAGCAGAAGTGCTTTATTGCATTACTCTAGGACCTGAGCTTCCATCAGGAGAACAGTCTTCTCGATTAGTAGTTTCTTGGCGAATGAACTTTTTGCAAAGCACAATGATGAAAGGTATGATTGAAGGAGGAGCACGACAAGGTATAAAGGAAAGCTTTGAGCAGTATCAAAAATTGTTATCTCAGAATGTAAAGCCAGCTGACGTTAAAGAAATGGGTTCAGAGAAGGATCAAGTTTTGGCATCTCTTCAGGTCGAGCATCTGTCAGATTGGAAATTGGCCGTTCAGTATTTCACTAATTTTACAGTAATTTCATCTATTTTCATGGGTTTGTACGTGCTTGTGCATATATGGCTGACCATGCCTAGCACAATTCAGGGTCTTGAGTTTGTTGGATTAGACTTGCCTGATTCCATTGGTGAATTGATTGTGTGTGGAGTACTGGTTCTCCAAGGTAAACGGGTACTAGAGTTGATATCACGCTTCATGCAAGCCAGAGTACAAAGAGGTATTAATATTTTGAGATTGCTGAGTCTGTGAGGACGTGTGGTTTTAATTTAGATTCCATTGCTTCAGGCAAATACACGCCAAAGAAGTTGCCTGTCTTTGTATACAAAAAGAATTATATTTTCCCAATGAGTTAATTTTATTCAAATTTCGTTATGTTGACTACAGGCAGTGATCATGGAATTAAAGCTCAAGGGGAAGGTTGGTTGCTCACTGTTGCCTTAATTGAAGGAAGCAATTTGGCAGCAGTTGACTCAAGTGGGTTCTCTGATCCTTATGTGGTGTTCACTTGCAATGGGAAAACAAGAACCAGCTCTATTAAATTCCAGAAATCTGATCCTCTTTGGAATGGTATTTTCTTGCATAAATTTACTGGTATTGTATAATAGTATATGTGCGGTTTATCATTGGCTAAATTACTTAGTGGGAATATTGTCTCTTACAGAAATTTTTGAATTTGATGCAATGGATGAGCCTCCATCTGTACTGGATGTAGAAGTGTTTGATTTTGACGGACCTTTTGATGATGCTACATCTCTTGGACGTGCTGAAATTAATTTCTTGAAAACTAACATATCAGAATTGTCTGATATTTGGATTCCTATACAAGGAAAGTTGGCTCAGGCATGCCAGTCAAAGTTACATTTAAGAGTTTTTTTGAACAATACCAGGGGTGGCAATGTTGTCATAGATTATTTAACTAAGATGGGGAAGGAGGTGGGGAAAAAGGTAAATGGCCTCTTTTTCTGCAAATGTATTTACTTTTCGACAGTGTAATTTCGGGTTAACTCACTTTTCTATGGCCATCCAATATGGTTAATGAAATGTTTTCAGATAAAATTGCGCTCTCCTCAAACAAATTTTGCATTCCAAAAGCTCTTTGCACTCCCACCTGAGGAATTTCTTATCAATGACTTTGCTTGTCACCTGAAACGCAAAATGCCTCTGCAGGTAATTAATATAGTTTGTTTTATGGTGATGTGAATCTTGGAGTTCTCTTTTATTTGACAGTGTTAGTGCAATCAATTGAAGTTGTAAGGACTACTTTTGCTGTAATCACAAAAATTAGATCAACACTCTCCAAGTCGGGGAGCTGATGATGCTTTTTTAAGTTCTAATTTTTGTTTAGATTTTAATGTTGTGTCTAAGTAACCGTTAACTAATTGTGGTGGCAGGGCCGCCTCTTTCTGTCAGCAAGAATAATTGGGTTTCATGCAGATCTATTTGGTCATAAGACGAAGTTTTTCTTCCTTTGGGAAGACATAGAAGACATCCAAGTCATTCCTCCTACCTTGTCATCAATGGGCAGTCCAATCATCATTATGACTCTTTGGCCAGGTAGAGGTTTTGATGCACGGCATGGAGCAAGAACACAGGATCCAGAAGGCCGGCTGAAGTTTCATTTTCACTCTTTTGTGTCTTTCAACATGGCACAGAGGTAATTTCAGATTAATTACATTTCTGTGAGTTAACAGGATTTTTAACGATTATTTCGTTTTCAGTCCTGTCATATAATTCAGTGGTCACACTGTTAACCCCTTCACCTGTTGAAGTTTTATGTTATTGTTCTTCTCGTCATCATGTCTAGTCCTGCATCTTATCCTAGAAATATTTTAGTTAAATCTTCCAACCATTTGTTCAAAACTACAAGCATTTCTAACGTTTGAACCTGTCCAGCCTAATCTCAAAGTCCAGTAATGTTGTACTAATTGGTTCTTTATACATGATGTAGGTAAATGTCTCCATGGATAACATTACAGATTTACCTTTTATCAAAAAAATTAGGGTTAGTTTTCCAAGTGATTGTTTTAACATTCAGTGTGTGTGGATAAATTACTTCTTGAGAGTGTTCGTACACTGTGCATTGGAGTCCTGTCCTTTACTGTAAAAGCTTATTGAGTCCTGGAAGTTAGAAAGCTCCAGGTAGAAAGAAGAGCTGTTTGATGTTAGTCTTCTGGAAGACAAATAGAAAGCTGTTTGATGTTAGTCCTGGAAGTTAGGAAGCTCCAGGTAGAAAGAAGAGCATTCAATGGCCTTAAAACCCTGTATGGAGGATCAAGAACATACTTCTTTTCTTTAATTCTTTTTCTTTGGTTGACCACCAATCTCTTGCAGTTGCTTCGGCGATTTTTTTTTTTTTTTTACCACTTCTCTCCCATTCCCCCCCCCCCCCCCCCCCCCCCCCCCCCCCCCCCCCCCCCCCTCCCCCCCCCCCCCCCCCCCCCCCCCCCCCCCCCCCCCCCCCACCCCCCCCC